TAATGCAAAGTTAACATTAATGGCTAATTAGATCCCACTACCTTAATCCAATGCTTTTTGTTTTTCTTGTTGTTCCTTCTTGCTTCCATAAGTTCTAAACCCTAACATGGCAATCCACAAAAAGGGTAGCAAGAATCATCAACCATTCCTTATAAAATCAATTGCATAACTCAAGTAACTCCTAAACCCCTTAAAGCTTCCATATTTGTTCTTGAATTTTTAGAGTTGGTTTCCATAAACCCTAAAAATTCCCTCTTGATTCAACCCCACATGATTTTCATGTAGATTCCAAATATCTACTTGGATTTAACAAAATAAATTTTCCTCTTCCAGTTTCAGCTTGACCGAACCCTTAGGGTTTAAAACTCAAAAATTGCAACTTTGATTCTATGGCTTCCAACACTTGTTCTTTAAGTTTTTCCTACACTATTCTTCATTTTGAACACAATGGAAGCCTCAAAACTTTGAAAAACATATCCTAGGGTTCAGATCTTGCTTTGGCCGAAAATAACACTTAAGGAAATAACCATGAAAAATGCTTCAAAACCAACTATAATCACTTGCAAACACTAGGATCTAACTTGTGTTGTTGTGTCTTAGCAAGTGTGATGAACAAAACTCCCTTCCCCTTTTATTATTCAGTTCGGCCAACCATTAGAGAGAGAGGGGACAGATTTTTCAACCATAAAAGAGAAGGAAAACAAGGCAAGAACACATCTAGAACTAAGAACTCACCTTGAATCCTTGATTCAATGACCAAAGTTGATGCCTTTCTCTTGGTTTTCCTTTGAAACTCTTCCTTTTTCCTCTGTAACTCTCCTTGCATGAAATATGGATCAGATTTAGGGAAGGAGAAGCTCATTCAAATGCACACAAAATATCCCATCAACCATCATTGATGTTGTGCCAAGTGTCAAGAGCCTACTTAGTCTTAATCTTCTCTCTTAATTAACTTAAATCATAATGTAATTAAATTTCAAAGTTAAGATCCTCTCCATTGATAGCTTGACACTTGGAAAGCTTTAATTACCATCCATTAGAGGCTTGACACATGGCTAAGTGTGAACCATTTGAATTGCAAGACTCTAGTCTTGCTTTATCGGTGCACTTTTACTCTGAGTTTAACTTCTTTTCTATAATTACAGTATCTGGTCCTTGTAATTATTTTTTGTCAGATCCATCTGGTCCTTGTAATTATTTTTTGTCAGATCCATAAATTATTCTCCTCATTTTTATCTTCCCAAATTGCCCTCTTTGTCTCAAATTAAATTTTCCAATAATTAAATAAAATAGAAAACTAATTTCCTTCTCTTTAGTGATTTTTCCACTTTTCTGAGGAATTGGGAAAAATCTTGGATACTTGAGGGCCTTCTTTTAATTTCCTTGGGATATCATAGAAATTTTCTTGGAATTTTATTCTCCTTAAATATATTTATTTGGAATTTTCAAAATAATGACCTTAAATTGGCTTAAATTCCTTTGTAATCTCTTTAGGGGCAGTTTGGTCATAAAACCAATTTTATAATCCCATATAATTCTCAAGGAACCTTATCCTTATTTTTCCTTAATTTTCTGAGGCTTGGAAATATTTTTCCATAATTATCCTTGACCAATTTTCCTTAATTAGTCAAACTTTTCATAATTGGCTTGGAAAACTATAATAATTATTTTCCACCAAAACTCTTCTATTTCTCCTCATCATTTTTGGCCTTTAAATATTTAGGAATACCCTTATTTTCAATTGCCATATTACTGGATGTGACATTTCTCCCCCTCTAAATAAATTTCGTCCTCGAAATTTAAAGTGTATCTTATTGAAAAAGTTCAGGATACTTTTCCTCTGTCTTAGTCTCTGTCTCCCTCATAGCTTCTAGTGTAAGACCTTTCCAGACAACCTCGACTAATGGAAACTGCCTGTTTCTCAGCTGTTCAACTTTCTGATCAATGATTCGCTTTAGTCTGATCTCAAAGACGGGTTGTTTTAGAGCACAATGTCATCATAGTTTATGACATGTGTCGAGTCTAAATGGTATTTCTTTCATTGGGAGTTATAGAAGACATCATGAATTTGACTTACATTCGGGAGAATGGTCGCTCATAACCTACTGGTCCAGTCTTGGACAAAATTTGAAATAGTCCATCGTAGTTTGAACTTAACTTCTTAAGCTTTAGGGATCGACCGACTTCCATTGTTGGTTACACTTTTGGTGAGAACCCACAAGAAAAAATCCCACGAACCCACAGCCGATCTGAATATACGCATCCCGAGAATGTAAACAAAGGTCTGGTGATCCACTTGAACCCTTGAACACGGGAGAACAAGGACCCGAAGTGTTGAAAGACGCCACAAGGTTGATCAAGCCTTGATAACTCTATTAGTTCAATGAAGAACCCTAGAGAGAACCCCTCTCAAGTCAGAAATTACAAAATGCAAGTTTTTCATTCAAATTCCAAAATCCCTGCCAAAATGAGGGTTACAATATCTTATAGAGGATACATTCAAGATCTGACCTAAAAAGCATTAAATGCAATCTAGAAAATCAAAATATAATAAATTCATAAGGACTTGATTTAGGTAGCTTGGAAATTTAAAAGTCAAATCTACCAACTAATTATGAATTTTCGCTCAAATGCATTTAATGAAATATAATCAGCATATCAAGCCCAAAATATGATTAATTAGGCCCAAATGAGTCTTCTCATGTGTTGTACTTGATCCAAGCTCCTTAAATTGAAGTCTCCAAGCCCAAGATATGATCAGTAGCTCCATTTTCAGCCCAAATGACATTAGTGACGTCCTCAGCATTTTTATCCAGATTTGATACTCCAATAAATGCCATTTGCTTTGTCAAGGTGTCTTGCACTAGCCCACTCAAAGCTTCCTTAATTCTTTTAGCTCTTGCTCTTGTGATTGGTCCAGTTGGGATTTGATGCGATACAGCAAGCTAACTCCTCAACTTCCAATGATCCATTGCAAATCCCAACTGGACCAATCACAAGAGCAAGAGCTAAAAGAATTAAGGAAGCTTTGAGTGGGCTAGTGCAAGACACCTTGACAAAGCAAATGGCATTTATTGGAGTATCAAATCTGGATAAAAATGCTGAGGATGTCACTAATGTCATTTGGGCTGAAAATGGAGCTACTAATCATATCTTGGGCTTGGAGACTTCAATTTAAGGAGCTTGGATCAAGTACAACACATGAGAAGACTCATTTGGGCCTAATTAATCATATTTTGGGCTTGATATGCTGATTATATTTCATTAAATGCATTTGTGCGAAAATTCATAATTAGTTGGCAGATTTGACTTTTGAATTTCCAAGTTACCTAAATCAAGTCCTTATGAATTTATTATGTTTTGATTTTCTAGATTGCATTTAATGCTTTTTAGGTCAGATCTTGAATGTATCCTCTATAAGATATTGTAACCCTCATTTTGGGAGGAGATTTTTGGGAATTTTGAATGAAAACTTGCATTTTGCAATTTCTGATTGAGAGGAGTTCTCTCTAGGGTTCTTCATTGAACTAACAGACTTATCAAGGCTTGATCAATCTTGTGGCGTCTTTCAACACTTCGGGTCCTTGTTCTTCCGTGTTCAAGGGTTCAAGTAGATCACCAGACCTTTGTTTACGTTCTTGGGGTGCGTATATTCAGATCGGTTGTGGGTTCGTGGGATTTTTCCCTTGTGGGTTCTCACCATCTTGGTATCAGAGCTTTGGATCTAAACTCAGGTCATATTTTTCTGTTAGTTTACCTTCATTTTCGTTCTTCATTTGGTGCCTTTTCTTGTGTCTGTTCGTCTTCTGCGTTTCTGTTCATCACCGAAATTGTCATCCTTGTCCATTCACTTTTCCGTTGAGTTTTGTGAAGTTTAATAGGTCATTTTCATAGTTCGGAATCCCTTCTTTCGTCTCGTTTTGGTTTCATCTAAATCCGACTTTTGTAGGGCAAGTTATACCCATTTGAAAAGGACGCGTTTTCTGGAATTTCTGGGTTCAGATTGCTTGTTCTGTTTTGTTTATGGTATTTTTGTGATTTTCCTTGCATTATTCAGTGAAAAAAAAAAAGAAAAGAAAAGGGAAAAGACAAGAAAAAAAAAAGGAAAAAAAAAGGTACCCAAAAAGAAAGGGACAGAAAAAAAGAAACGAAAAGAAATTATAGTGCTGGCAGTGTTCTGAGCAAATCATCTTCATATCCAAATTCTATTTTGGCTTTTGCAATACTTGTGTCAATTGAGTTTCTGACTTTTCTTGAAGGTCCATATTCAATACTCTTAATTTCTCAAAGTTCCTAAGTGTTGGCTGATTCTGCATATTGTGATTGCTTTGTTTAAATTGTTTAGTTCTTTAAAGAGCCTCAAGATTTCAGAGCGGAAAAAGGCAAGAGTGATATACCTCAATTTAAAAGCCAAGTTTGAGTGAAACACGAGTGTTGAGTGTCATTCTTGAGGGAAACACGTGAGGAAATTTGTGAGGAACTTTACTTCACTAACATAATTAATTTTCCTTGAAGTCACAATGTCTAATGCAGATGGGACATCTGGTGGTAGTGGAAATCCAATGAATATTGAAGACACCCTTAGGGCAATGCAGCAACATTTTCAACGGATGAATGTGGTTTATGGAGAGATAAGGGATAGAATGGATAGACAAGATGAAAGGATTGTAAATCTGCAAAGAGCCCAACCTAAACCTAGAAGGCATGGAAGGCAAAGGGAGGTTTCTATGGATGACTTTGAATCTGAAAATAACAAAGTTGGTGGTAGTGAGGATGAAGTCAATTCTGAATCTGAAGTTGAACTGATAAGGAATAGGCATAGAGGGGATAGGTATGGGAGAAGATATGGGAGAAATAACCCAAGGGAGAGAGATAGAGTAGATGGGAACCTTGGGAGCATCAAAATGAAGATACCATCATTCCAAGGTAGAAATGATCCTGAAGCCTACTTAGAGTGGGAAAAGAAAATAGAAATGATCTTTGAGTGTCATAATTATTCTGAAGCTAAAAAGGTGAAGTTGGCAGCAATAGAATTCACTGATTATGCCATTGTTTGGTGGGATAAATTGGGTATTAATAGGAGGAATAATGGAGAGAGGCCTGTAACAACTTGGAGCGAAATGAAAGCTCTAATGAAGAAGAGATTTGTTCCCAACCATTATTTTAGAGAGCTTTATCAAAAGTTGCAGACCCTTACACAAGGTCCTAGGAGTGTAGAGGAGTACAATAAGGAGATGGAATTGGCCATGATAAGAGCTAATGTGCAAGAAGATAGAGAAGCAACAATGGCCCGATTTCTAAGTGGGTTGAACAAAGATATAGCTGATATAGTTGAATTGCATCATTATGTAGAACTAGAAGACATGGTGCATATGGCTATTAAGGTGGAAAAGCAACTCAAGCGAAAAGGTGCTTCAAAATTTCATTCTGGATCAACTTCTTCTTTCAAACAGAATTGGAAGAAAGGAGAAAAAGCTATCCAAAAGGAGACCACTAGAGGCAAAGAAGAAGCTTCATCAAAGAGCAAAGGTAAATCTGATTCCCAAACTTCTAGAAATAGGGATATAAAATGTTTCAAGTGTTTGGGTACAGGTCATATTGCTTCTCAATGCCCCAACAAGAGAGTTATGATTCTGAAAAATAATGAAGTTGTGACTGAAAGTGAGAGTGAAAGTGATGACTCCATGCCCCTACTTGAAGATGCTAGTGATGATGGGATTGAGTATGCTGTGGAAGGAGAATGCCTTGTGGTTAGAAGAGCCTTGAATTGTCAAGTGAAGGAAGATGAGTTGAATGAGCAAAGGGAAAATATTTTCCATACTCGCTGCCTCATTAATAACAAGGTATGTAGTTTGATAATTGATGGTGGGAGTGTTACAAATGTTGCAAGCACTACAATGGTTGAGAAATTACATTTGCCCACTGTTAGACACCCTAGACCATACAAGCTGCAATGGCTGAATGAATGTGGGGAGATTAAAGTTGATAAGCAAGTTCTTGTTTCTTTTTCAATTGGGAAGTATTGTGATGAAGTATTATGTGATGTTGTTCCTATGCATGCTGGACATATACTTTTGGGAAGACCTTGGGAATTTGATAGAAAGGTAAAGAAAGATGGGCTTACAAATAGATATTCTTTTGTAATGAACAACAGACCCATTACTCTTGTACCATTGACCCCAAAGCAAGTGTATGAGGATCAACTTAAGATGAAAAAAGAGAGAGATAAAAAAGAGAGTGATATGAAAAATGTGAGAGAGACATCAAAAAGAAATGGGAGTGAAAAGGAGAGAAAAGATGAGAGTTCAAAAAAAGAATTTCAGAAAAAAAATGAAGAGAGAAAAGAGAAATAGAAATTGAGTTTTTATGCAAAAGAAAGTGAAGTGAGGAATGCCTTTTTGGCTGAACAACATTTGCTTCTCCTTGTTTACAAGGAATCCTTTTTGGATACTAATGACATTAACTCTTCCTTTCCAAGTGTTGTTAGTTCTTTATTGCAGGAATATGTTGATGTGTTCCCAGAGGAGATTCCACCTGGATTACCACCCATTAGAGGAATTGAGCATCAAATTGATTTCATTCCAGGAGCAACAATTCCTAATAGGCCAGCCTATAGAAGCAATCCAGAAGAGACAAAGGAACTTCAAAGGCAAGTGGAAGAGCTCATGGCAAGGGGATATGTTAGAGAAAGCTTGAGTCCTTGTGCTGTTCCGGTACTTTTGGTCCCAAAGAAAGATGGAACTTGGAGGATGTGCATTGATTGCAGAGCTGTGAATAACATCACTATAAAGTATCGCCATCCCATTCCTAGATTAGATGATATGCTTGATGAATTGCATGGTTCTATTGTCTTTTCTAAGATTGATTTGAAATCTGGATACCATCAAATTAGAATGAGGGAAGGGGATGAATGGAAAACTGCTTTCAAAACAAAACATGGTTTGTATGAATGGTTAGTTATGCCATTTGGGTTAACTAATGCACCTAGTACTTTCATGAGATTAATGAATCATGTTTTGCGTGCTTTCATTGGGAAATTTGTTGTGGTTTATTTTGATGACATTCTGATTTACAGCAAGAATCTTGATGAGCATTTGAATCATTTGCATTGTGTGCTTGATGTTTTGAGAAAGGAAAAATTGTTTGCAAATATGAAGAAGTGTGATTTTTGTATGGATAAAATTGTTTTTCTTGGCTTTGTGGTGAGTGCTAAAGGAATAGAAGTTGATGAAGAAAAGATAAGAGCTATTAAAGAATGGCCAACACCTAAAAGCATAACTGAGGTGAGAAGCTTTCATGGTTTGGCTAGTTTTTATAGGCGCTTTGTCAAAGATTTTAGCACACTTGCTGCACCACTCACTGAAGTTATTAAAAAGTCTGTTGGTTTTAAATGGGATAAAGAACAAGATGTTGCATTCATTAGGCTTAAGGATAAATTGTGTTCTGCACCTGTATTAGTATTGCCTAACTTTAACAAAACTTTTGAGATTGAATGTGATGCATCTGGAGTTGGAATAGGAGCTGTTTTGATGCAGGAAGGAAAGCCAATTGCTTATTTTAGTGAAAAGTTGAATGGAGCAGCCTTGAAGTATCCAACATATGACAAGGAGCTCTATGCACTTAAAAGAGCATTAGAGAATTGGCAACACTACCTTTGGCCTAAACAATTTGTAATTCATACTGATCATCAATCTTTGAAGCACATTAAGGGTCAAGGTAAGCTGAACAAGAGACATGCAAGGTGGCTGGAATTTATTGAGACATTTCCGTATGTCATCAGATACAAGAAAGGTAAAGAAAATGTGGTGGCTGATGCATTGTCAAGAAGGTATACTCTTCTTACTACTCTAAATGCTAGGTTGCTTGGTTTTGAATATATCAAGGAATTGTATGCCATTGATGCTGATTTTGCTGAAGTGTTTCTTGCTTGTGAAAAGAAAGCATTTGAAAAGTTTTATAGGATTGATGGGTACTTGTTTAAAGAAAACAGATTGTGTGTGCCTCAATGTTCTTTGCGAGAATTACTTGTGAGAGAAGCACATGGGGGAGGATTAATGGGTCACTTTGGTGTGAAAAAGACTTTGGATGTTTTGCATGAACATTTCTTTTGGCCTAAAATGAAACGTGATGTGGAAAGAATCTGTGCTAAATGCATAACTTGTAAAAAGGCTAAATCTAGAGTCTTGCCACATGGTTTGTACACCCCATTACCTGTGCCTAGTGAACCTTGGGTAGATATATCAATGGATTTTATTTTGGGTTTACCTAGGTCAAGAAAGGGTATGGATTCCATATTTGTGGTTGTCGATAGATTTTCTAAAATGGCACATTTCATTGCTTGCCATAAAACTGATGATGCCACATACATTGCTGATTTGTTCTTTAAGGAAATTGTAAGACTTCATGGTTGTTCCTAAAAGTATTGTTTCTGATAGGGATACAAAATTCTTGAGTCATTTTTGGAGGATTTTGTGGGGTAAGCTGGGTACTAAATTATTGTTTTCTACTGCTTGTCATCCACAAACTGATGGACAAACTGAGGTAGTTAATAGAACTTTAACTCAATTGCTTAGAACTGTGATTCAAAAGAACTTGAAGAATTGGGAAAATTGCTTGTCATTCATTGAATTTGCTTACAATAGGAGTGTGCACTCATCTACTGATTATTCTCCTTTTGAAATAGTGTATGGTTTTAATCCACTAACTCCCTTGGATTTATTACCATTGCCTATTGATGAGAGGGCCAGTCTTGATGGGACAAAAAAGCTGAAACAGTGAAACAACTTCATCAAAAAGTGAAACAACAAATTGAAAAGAAAAATGAGCAATATGCATCCAAGGCTAACAAAGGAAGAAGGCGTGTTCTCTTTGAACCTGGTGATTGGGTGTGGGTGCATATGAGGAAAGAAAGATTTCCAGCTCAAAGAAAGTCCAAATTAGCTCCAAGAGGAGATGGTCCATTTCAAGTGCTTGAAAGAATCAATGACAATGCTTACAAAATTGATTTACTTGGTAAGTATAATGTTAGTGCTACTTTCAATGTGGCTGATTTATCTCCTTTTGATGCAGGTGATGATTCGAGGTCGAATCCTTTTGAGGAGAGGGGGAATGATGCGATACAGCAAGCTAACTCCTCAACTTCCAATGATCCATTGCAAATCCCAACTGGACCAATCACAAGAGCAAGAGCTAAAAGAATTAAGGAAGCTTTGAGTGGGCTAGTGCAAGACACCTTGACAAAGCAAATGGCATTTATTGGAGTATCAAATCTGGATAAAAATGCTGAGGATGTCACTAATGTCATTTGGGCTGAAAATGGAGCTACTGATCATATCTTGGGCTTGGAGACTTCAATTTAAGGAGCTTGGATCAAGTACAACACATGAGAAGACTCATTTGGGCCTAATTAATCATATTTTGGGCTTGATATGCTGATTATATTTCATTAAATGCATTTGTGCGAAAATTCATAATTAGTTGGCAGATTTGACTTTTGAATTTCCAAGTTACCTAAATCAAGTCCTTATGAATTTATTATGTTTTGATTTCTAGATTGCATTTAATGCTTTTTAGGTCAGATCTTGAATGTATCCTCTATAAGATATTGTAACCCTCATTTTGGGGGGATTTTTGGAATTTTGAATGAAAACTTGCATTTTGCAATTTCTGATTGAGAGGAGTTCTCTCTAGGGTTCTTCATTGAACTAACAGACTTATCAAGGCTTGATCAATCTTGTGGCGTCTTTCAACACTTCGGGTCCTTGTTCTTCCGTGTTCAAGGGTTCAAGTAGATCACCAGACCTTTGTTTACGTTCTTGGGGTGCGTATATTCAGATCGGTTGTGGGTTCGTGGGGTTTTTCCTTGTGGGTTCTCACCATGATCCAAAATGAAATTTTGAAGCACCTTTACGCTTGAGTTGCTTTTCCACCTTAATAGCCATATGCACCATGTCTTCTAGCTCCACATAATGATGCAATTCCACTATGTCAGCGATATCTTTGTTCAATACCCAATTTATCCCACCAAACAATGGCATAATCAGTGAATTCTATTGCTGCCAACTTCACCCTTTTAGCTTCAGAATAATTATGACACTCAAAAATCATTTCTATTTTCTTTTCCCACTCTAAATAGGCTTTAGGATCATTTCTACCTTGGAATGATGGTATATTCATTTTGATGCTCCCAAGGTTCCCATCTACTCTATCTCTCTCCCTTGGGTTATTTCTCCCATGTCTTCTCCCATACCTATCCCCTTTATGCCTATTCCTTATCAGTTCAACTTCAGATTCATAATTGACTTCATCCTTACTACCACCAACTTCGTTATTTTCAGATTCAAAGTCATCCATAGAAACCTCCCTTTGCCTTCCATGCCTTCTAGGTTTAGGTTGGGCTCTTTGCAGATTTGCAATCCTTTCATCTTGTCTATCCATTCTATCCCTTATCTCTCCATAAACCACATTCATCCGTTGAAAATGTTGCTGCATTGGCCTAAGGGTGTCTTCAATATTCATTGGATTTCCACCACCACCGGATGTCCCATCTGCATTAGACATTGTGACTTCAAGGGAAATTAATTATGTTGGTGAAGTAAAGTTCCTCACAAATTTCCTCACGTGCTTCCCTCAAGAATGACACTCAACACTCGTGTTTCACTCAAACTTGGCTTTTAAATTGAGGTATGTCACTATTGCCTTTTTCCACTCTGAAATCCCTCTTGAGGCTCTTTAAAGAACTAAGCAATTTAAACAAAGCAATCACAATATGTAGAATCAGCCAACACTTAGGAACTTTGAGAAATTAAGAGTATTGAATATGGACTTCCAAGAAAAAATCAGAAATTCAATTGACACAAGTATTGCAAAAGCCAAAACAGAATTTGGATATGAAGATGATTTTGCTCAAAACACTTCCAGCACTATAAATTTTTTGTTTTTTTTTTCTGTTCCTTTTTTTTTTCTCTTGTCTTTCCTTTTTTTTTTTTGTTTTCACTGAATAATGCAAAGAGAATCACGAAAATACCATAAAAAAAACAGAACAAGCAATCTGAACCCAGAAATTCCAGAAAACGCATCTTTTTCAAATGGGTATAACTTGCCCTAGAAAAGTCAGATCTAGATGAAACCAAAACGAGAAGAAAGAAGGGATTCCAAACTATGAAACTGACCTATTAAAGATTACAAAACTCAAAGGGAAAGTGAATGAACACGGACGAAAATTTCAGTGACGGACAAAAACGCAGAAGACGAACAGACACGAGAAGGTAAACGAAATGAAGGACGAAAATGAAGGTAAACTAACAGAAAAATATGACCTGAGTTTAGATCCTAGGTTCTGATACCAAGATGGTGAGAACCCACAAGAAAAAATCCCACGAACCCACAATCGATCTGAATATACGCACCCCGAGAACATAAACAAAGGTCTGGTGATCCACTTGAACCCTTGAACACGGGAAAACAAGGACCCGAAGTGTTGAAAGACACCATAAGGTTGATCAAGCCTTGATAAGTCTGTTAGTTCAATGAAGAACCCTAGGGAGAACCCCTCTCAAGTCAGAAATTACAAAATACAAGTTTTTCATTCAAATTCCAAAATCCTTGCCAAAATGAGAGTTACAATATTTTATAGAGGATACATTCAAGATCTGACCTAAAAAGCATTAAATGCAATCTAGAAAATCAAAATATAATAAATACATAAGGACTTGATTTAGGTAACTTGGAAATTTAAAAGTCAAATCTGCCAACTAATTATGAATTTTCGCTTAAATGCATTTAATGAAATATAATCAGCATATCAAGCCCAAAATATGATTAATTAGGCCCAAATGAGTCTTCTCACGTGTTGTACTTGATCCAAGCTCCTTAAATTGAAGTCTCCAAGCCCAAGATATGATCAGTAGCTCCATTTTCAGCCCAAATGACATTAGTGATGTCCTCAGCATTTTTATCCAGATTTGATACTCCAATAAATGCCATTTGCTTTGTCAAGGTGTCTTGCACTAGCCCACTCAAAGCTTCCTTAATTCTTTTAGCTCTTGCTCTTGTGATTGGTCCAGTTGGGATTTGTAATGGATCATTGGAAGTTGAGGAGTTAGCTTGCTGTATCGCATCTCCAGACAACCTCGACTAATGGAAACTGCCTGTTTCTCAGCTGTTCAACTTTCTGATCAATGATTCGCTTTAGTCTGATCTCAAAGACAGGTTGTCTTGGAGCACAATGTCATCATAGTTTATGACATGTGTCGAGTCTAAATGGTATTTCTTTCATTGGGAGTTATAGAAGACATCATGAATTTGACTTACATTCGGGAGAATGGTCACTTATAACCTACTGGTCCAGTCTTGGACAAAATTTGAAATAGTCCATCGTAGTTTGAACTTAACTTCTTAAGCTTTAGGGATCGACTGACTTCCATTGTTGGTTACACTTTAATCACCAACCTCAATCTTTAACGGTCTCCTTTAATATCTGAGTAGCTTTTTTGTCTATTTTGAGCCGTTAGAAGTCTTTACTAAATAACTTTAGGGCCTGTTTGGTTTGAGGGGAGGGTAGGGGAGGGAAGGGAGGGAGGGGTAGGGGACGGGAGGGAAGGTTTCATCCTCACCTTGTTTGGTTTAATTAAAAAAGAGGGGAGGGGAGGATATTTAATGATCCCTTGTTTGGTTCAAGGAGGGGAGGGAAGGGATAGTAATAATCAATTTACCATTTTACCCTTACATATTAGTTTATGTTTTTTATTGATATATTATATAAATTAATTTACATCTTAATTTAAATCATATAATTTAATAAAAATTCAGTCTTATCATATTAATATGTGTATTAAAAAATTGGTACAGTAATTTTTTATTCTAATTAATATAATAATATATTTAAAATAATCAAATTAACAAATTTTATATGGTCTAAGAAAAATGAAATTTTATTCTCTTTATGCTATCTTTTTTTCCAGCTTTAAAATATATTTAATAAATAATATATTTATAAAAAATTAATTTTATAATATTATAATTTTTTATTTAAATAATTTTTTAATATATTTTTAATTATAATAATGTATATATTTTTTATTTTTTTACTTAGGATAATATATTTTTTATTTCAAATAAATATTATAATAATATATTTTATGGGTAGAAGTGGAATATTAAAAAAACTATAAGGGCATAATGGTCCAAAAATTTGGCTCCCCTCCAAAAACTCCCAATTTGGAGGGGAGCCAAAATGGGGGGAGGGAGGGGAGGGGAGGGGACATTTTAGCTCCCCTCCCTCCAAAATTTTTAACCAAATGAGGGGAGGGGCTCATTTCCCCTCCCCTCCCCTCCCCTCCCTCCAACCAAACAAACCCTTAGTCTACTGGGAAGTCTGATCCACTATATTAGGACTATACTTCTTTCATTGAACTCTATCTAGCACAAGGGGGATCTATGTTTCCTCCCATAGAGTGCTTCATATGGCACCATTCAAATACTTACATGGAAACAGTCATCTTAAGCGAATTCGGCTAACGGTAAGTACATACCCTAATTACTGCCAAAATCACGTACATATGCGTGTAGCATATCTTCTAACATCCATATCATTCTCTGTGTTGCCCATCCTTCTCAGGATGGTAGGCTATACTAAAGTTGAGAGTAGTATCTATTTCTTTCATAAGGACTTCTAAAACTTCATGTAAATTTCAGGTCTTAGCCTGAAACCATACTGCTTAGGCTATTCGATAGCCTAACAGCTTCCTTAACTTTCATCTTCCATTATCTGCTAAACTTAGTGCATCCTTGCCAAAATGGCTAACATTTCTGGCTTTTGCACTTTCTCACATTTTTTTCCAGGGTCACACTCTCTTGGGCTACTCTTGCCTGAAACACCTAACTAAACAGTGCTGACGAGAAACTGAAGCACTGATTCTGATAAGCTTAACCCTGGTACTTTATTGTCTTAGACCCCTTTTTCTGATCTATCTTTAGTCGGGTCTTTTCAGCTTACATTCTTGTCTCTTACCTCATCTTAAGGATTTGCTTGTCGATACCCAGTCTGTTTCTGTGTCACATGGAGTTCTTCCTGTATCTAGAGCTAGCCTGAATGTCTCTTTTCCAGGTCTTATGTGATAGAGGAGCATGGCATGATCAAGCATCAAAGGAAGACCAAAACACGGAGCGTGGAGCCCAAGCTAAAAGATGGAAGTCCAATATTCTAAAAGACCCATTACAAGGCATTGTAGGCCCAATGACCAGAGCAAGGACCAAATCTATGAAAGAGGCGCTGAATTGTTTGATAAAAGATCTTAAAGAGTTAGAGCCCATTTATTTGGAAGAAGCATCCCTCAATCAGCCCATCAAGGGTCCAAACATGGTGATTACATTGCTAGAAGCCAAACAAGATGATGTACAAGGCCTATGTGCAGTCCAGATTGAAGAATTCACTCAAAATACCATGTGACAAGCATGTGCCTTGGAGGAGGAGCATAAGTGACGTCCAAGAATATTCAAGAAGCATCAAGAAGGCATCTTTATGTATTAGTTATGGTTTAATTTCGTTTTTTTAAGTTTTCATTTTTATTTGCATTAAATAAGGCCTTTTGGTCAAAGATTGCATAAGAATATTTTAGGTTAGTTTCCTATTTTTAGGTAACAGCCTTTTTCTTCAAGAAAAGGTAATTTCCTATTCCTTTAGCCTTAATTGGTGCCAACCAAGATAGTCAATCATCATTAAGGCACATTTATGGCATTTATGACCTAGGGTTTTTTGATTCTAGATTGTTCTTTTGCTGCCTATATAAGGCTACGTTTTTTGTAATTGGGGATCAGATTTGAATGAATGAATTTTAGAGAATTTTATTTCTCTTAAGTGAGCTTTGCTTGCCACCTCGTATTCTTGTGGAAATACTCGATTGTATCAAGGACTGATCATCCTTGTGATGTCTCCATGGCTAGGGTTCTAAGAGACAGGTTCTCTTAAGGTCCTACCTTTGATTGTTCGTCTAGTTTCCTAACTTGTTTCTAGCCGATCCGTATCCGTTCTTTATATCATTTGGTATCAGAGCTAAGGTTTGCTAGAATTTCAAGTTCTACCCTTTTATCTATTATTTCTGTTTTCTTGTTTCATCTTCTTAATTCTATCATTCATTCTTCGTCTCTTGCTTCCATCAATTTGTTTCTTCGCCTTTCCACCTCCTATTTGTGTTTTTTTTTTTGACTTTCTGTGTTCCTTTGAGCAGCAAAAAGAAAAAAAAGAAAAAAATTCATTCACAAAAAAAAAGAAAAAAAAAAAGTGTTGTGTTGTATAAAAAAAAAAGGAGTGCTAGAAAAAAAAAAGAAAAAAATCCGAAAATTCAAAAAAAAAAAGGAGAAGCTGCAGATTTGAGAATTGCAATGTTAAAGATGAGTTTCCTAAAATTGAGAAGAGCTTCCATTACAAGTCACAACTAGTTTCCTAAATTGTTAAACTTGGGCGGTAAGAGTTCTTATTTCCTCTCTTTGCATGTTTCCTAATTTCTTCTTGTTTCCTATTTTGTTGTTTTCCTTTCCTTTTTTTTTTTCCGTATTGCTTAATTTGAGTTTCTTTCCTTTTCCTTCAAGTTTCCTATTTGCTTCCTTCCTTCCATATCTCGCCTTCTTAACTTGATTTGCTTTTCTTGCAAGGTGCCCAATTTCCTAAATTATTTTCAAGGTAGCACCTTTCCTAAATATTTTTTTCCTTTTTTTTTTCCCTTTCTTTTCTAGTTCATAACTTTCCATATTCTCCTTTCTTTCTTTTTTTTCCTTTTTACGTTTTTCCCCTCCTCTTTTCCTTCCTTTTCATTTTTTTGGTACCTATCCTTCTTCTTTTATCACATATTCCTTTCTTATCTCTTATATTTTTTGGTTCTTGCAATTCTGGTTGTGGAGATTACCATTTACTAACATTGTCTCTTGATTTTGTTAAGTTTCAATCAAGAATACTATAGGAGGAAAGTTTGAGTGGTAAAAGGAGAGAGAGTGTTAGTGTTATTACGTCAATTTAAAAGCCAGATTTCTTGAGTGAAACACGCGAGTAGAGTAGTAAGGTCCCTTCTTACTATTTCATTTCTCTTTGATCACACTAACGTTTCAATTTCAAGATGAGTGACAAAGAAGCCAATATGGAAGAATTCAACACAGATCCTAAGCTATTCATGAGAGCCATGAGAGATTAATTTCTCAAACTTAAGTTGGAGCTAGCGGAGCTAAAAGCATCCAAAGCAAGTAGTGGTGACGAGGAGGTGATTACATCTGGTTCTTCATCCTCAAAGAATAGGAGCGGACCTGAAAAAGTGATTTGGACACCTATGACCCAAAGATCAAGTACCCTACCTTCAAGGGTAATATAAATCCTGATGCGATACAGCAAGCTAACTCCTCAACTTCCAATGATCCATTGCAAATCCCAACTGGACCAATCACAAGAGCAAGAGCTAAAAGAATTAAGGAAGCTTTGAGTGGGCTAGTGCAAGACACCTTGACAAAGCAAATGGCATTTATTGGAGTATCAAATCTGGATAAAAATGCTGAGGATGTCACTAATGTCATTTGGGCTGAAAATGGAGCTACTAATCATATCTTGGGCTTGGAGACTTCAATTTAAGGAGCTTGGATCAAGTACAACACATGAGAAGACTCATTTGGGCCTAATTAATCATATTTTGGGCTTGATATGCTGATTATATTTCATTAAATGCATTTGTGCGAAAATTCATAATTAGTTGGCAGATTTGACTTTTGAATTTCCAAGTTACCTAAATCAAGTCCTTATGAATTTATTATGTTTTGATTTTCTAGATTGCATTTAATGCTTTTTAGGTCAGATCTTGAATGTATCCTCTATAAGATATTGTAACCCTCATTTTGGGAGGAGATTTGGGAATTTTGAATGAAAACTTGCATTTTGCAATTTCTGATTGAGAGGAGTTCTCTCTAGGGTTCTTCATTGAACTAACAGACTTATCAAGGCTTGATCAATCTTGTGGCGTCTTTCAACACTTCGGGTCCTTGTTCTTCCGTGTTCAAGGGTTCAAGTAGATCACCAGACCTTTGTTTACGTTCTTGGGGTGCGTATATTCAGATCGGTTGTGGGTTCGTGGGATTTTTCCCTTGTGGGTTCTCACCATCTTGGTATCAGAGCTTTGGATCTAAACTCAGGTCATATTTTTCTGTTAGTTTACCTTCATTTTCGTTCTTCATTTGGTGCCTTTTCTTGTGTCTGTTCGTCTTCTGCGTTTCTGTTCATCACCGAAATTGTCATCCTTGTCCATTCACTTTTCCGTTGAGTTTTGTGAAGTTTAATAGGTCATTTTCATAGTTCGGAATCCCTTCTTTCGTCTCGTTTTGGTTTCATCTAAATCCGACTTTTGTAGGGCAAGTTATACCCATTTGAAAAGGACGCGTTTTCTGGAATTTCTGGGTTCAGATTGCTTGTTCTGTTTTGTTTATGGTATTTTTGTGATTTTCCTTGCATTATTCAGTGAAAAAAAAAAAGAAAAGAAAAGGGAAAAGACAAGAAAAAAAAAAGGAAAAAAAAAGGTACCCAAAAAGAAAGGGACAGAAAAAAAAAACGAAAAGAAATTATAGTGCTGGCAGTGTTCTGAGCAAATCATCTTCATATCCAAATTCTATTTTGGCTTTTGCAATACTTGTGTCAATTGAGTTTCTGACTTTTCTTGAAGGTCCATATTCAATACTCTTAATTTCTCAAAGTTCCTAAGTGTTGGCTGATTCTGCATATTGTGATTGCTTTGTTTAAATTGTTTAGTTCTTTAAAGAGCCTCAAGATTTCAGAGTGGAAAAAGGCAAGAGTGATATACCTCAATTTAAAAGCCAAGTTTGAGTGAAACACGAGTGTTGAGTGTCATTCTTGAGGGAAACACGTGAGGAAATTTGTGAGGAACTTTACTTCACTAACATAATTAATTTTCCTTGAAGTCACAATGTCTAATGCAGATGGGACATCTGGTGGTAGTGGAAATCCAATGAATATTGAAGACACCCTTAGGGCAATGCAGCAACATTTTCAACGGATGAATGTGGTTTATGGAGAGATAAGGGATAGAATGGATAGACAAGATGAAAGGATTGTAAATCTGCAAAGAGCCCAACCTAAACCTAGAAGGCATGGAAGGCAAAGGGAGGTTTCTATGGATGACTTTGAATCTGAAAATAACAAAGTTGGTGGTAGTGAGGATGAAGTCAATTCTGAATCTGAAGTTGAACTGATAAGGAATAGGCATAGAGGGGATAGGTATGGGAGAAGATATGGGAGAAATAACCCAAGGGAGAGAGATAGAGTAGATGGGAACCTTGGGAGCATCAAAATGAAGATACCATCATTCCAAGGTAGAAATGATCCTGAAGCCTACTTAGAGTGGGAAAAGAAAATAGAAATGATCTTTGAGTGTCATAATTATTCTGAAGCTAAAAAGGTGAAGTTGGCAGCAATAGAATTCACTGATTATGCCATTGTTTGGTGGGATAAATTGGGTATTAATAGGAGGAATAATGGAGAGAGGCCTGTAACAACTTGGAGCGAAATGAAAGCTCTAATGAAGAAGAGATTTGTTCCCAACCATTATTTTAGAGAGCTTTATCAAAAGTTGCAGACCCTTACACAAGGTCCTAGGAGTGTAGAGGAGTACAATAAGGAGATGGAATTGGCCATGATAAGAGCTAATGTGCAAGAAGATAGAGAAGCAACAATGGCCCGATTTCTAAGTGGGTTGAACAAAGATATAGCTGATATAGTTGAATTGCATCATTATGTAGAACTAGAAGACATGGTGCATATGGCTATTAAGGTGGAAAAGCAACTCAAGCGAAAAGGTGCTTCAAAATTTCATTCTGGATCAACTTCTTCTTTCAAACAGAATTGGAAGAAAGGAGAAAAAGCTATCCAAAAGGAGACCACTAGAGGCAAAGAAGAAGCTTCATCAAAGAGCAAAGGTAAATCTGATTCCCAAACTTCTAGAAATAGGGATATAAAATGTTTCAAGTGTTTGGGTACAGGTCATATTGCTTCTCAATGCCCCAACAAGAGAGTTATGATTCTGAAAAATAATGAAGTTGTGACTGAAAGTGAGAGTGAAAGTGATGACTCCATGCCCCTACTTGAAGATGCTAGTGATGATGGGATTGAGTATGCTGTGGAAGGAGAATGCCTTGTGGTTAGAAGAGCCTTGAATTGTCAAGTGAAGGAAGATGAGTTGAATGAGCAAAGGGAAAATATTTTCCATACTCGCTGCCTCATTAATAACAAGGTATGTAGTTTGATAATTGATGGTGGGAGTGTTACAAATGTTGCAAGCACTACAATGGTTGAGAAATTACATTTGCCCACTGTTAGACACCCTAGACCATACAAGCTGCAATGGCTGAATGAATGTGGGGAGATTAAAGTTGATAAGCAAGTTCTTGTTTCTTTTTCAATTGGGAAGTATTGTGATGAAGTATTATGTGATGTTGTTCCTATGCATGCTGGACATATACTTTTGGGAAGACCTTGGGAATTTGATAGAAAGGTAAAGAAAGATGGGCTTACAAATAGATATTCTTTTGTAATGAACAACAGACCCATTACTCTTGTACCATTGACCCCAAAGCAAGTGTATGAGGATCAACTTAAGATGAAAAAAGAGAGAGATAAAAAAGAGAGTGATATGAAAAATGTGAGAGAGACATCAAAAAGAAATGGGAGTGAAAAGGAGAGAAAAGATGAGAGTTCAAAAAAAGAATTTCAGAAAAAAAATGAAGAGAGAAAAGAGAAAAAGAAATTGAGTTTTTATGCAAAAGAAAGTGAAGTGAGGAATGCCTTTTTGGCTGAACAACATTTGCTTCTCCTTGTTTACAAGGAATCCTTTTTGGATACTAATGACATTAACTCTTCCTTTCCAAGTGTTGTTAGTTCTTTATTGCAGGAATATGTTGATGTGTTCCCAGAGGAGATTCCACCTGGATTACCACCCATTAGAGGAATTGAGCATCAAATTGATTTCATTCCAGAGCAACAATTCCTAATAGGCCAGCCTATAGAAGCAATCCAGAAGAGACAAAGGAACTTCAAAGGCAAGTGGAAGAGCTCATGGCAAGGGGATATGTTAGAGAAAGCTTGAGTCCTTGTGCTGTTCCGGTACTTTTGGTCCCAAAGAAAGATGGAACTTGGAGGATGTGCATTGATTGCAGAGCTGTGAATAACATCACTATAAAGTATCGCCATCCCATTCCTAGATTAGATGATATGCTTGATGAATTGCATGGTTCTATTGTCTTTTCTAAGATTGATTTGAAATCTGGATACCATCAAATTAGAATGAGGGAAGGGGATGAATGGAAAACTGCTTTCAAAACAAAACATGGTTTGTATGAATGGTTAGTTATGCCATTTGGGTTAACTAATGCACCTAGTACTTTCATGAGATTAATGAATCATGTTTTGCGTGCTTTCATTGGGAAATTTGTTGTGGTTTATTTTGATGACATTCTGATTTACAGCAAGAATCTTGATGAGCATTTGAATCATTTGCATTGTGTGCTTGATGTTTTGAGAAAGGAAAAATTGTTTGCAAATATGAAGAAGTGTGATTTTTGTATGGATAAAATTGTTTTTCTTGGCTTTGTGGTGAGTGCTAAAGGAATAGAAGTTGATGAAGAAAAGATAAGAGCTATTAAAGAATGGCCAACACCTAAAAGCATAACTGAGGTGAGAAGCTTTCATGGTTTGGCTAGTTTTTATAGGCGCTTTGTCAAAGATTTTAGCACACTTGCTGCACCACTCACTGAAGTTATTAAAAAGTCTGTTGGTTTTAAATGGGATAAAGAACAAGATGTTGCATTCATTAGGCTTAAGGATAAATTGTGTTCTGCACCTGTATTAGTATTGCCTAACTTTAACAAAACTTTTGAGATTGAATGTGATGCATCTGGAGTTGGAATAGGAGCTGTTTTGATGCAGGAAGGAAAGCCAATTGCTTATTTTAGTGAAAAGTTGAATGGAGCAGCCTTGAAGTATCCAACATATGACAAGGAGCTCTATGCACTTAAAAGAGCATTAGAGAATTGGCAACACTACCTTTGGCCTAAACAATTTGTAATTCATACTGATCATCAATCTTTGAAGCACATTAAGGGTCAAGGTAAGCTGAACAAGAGACATGCAAGGTGGCTGGAATTT